ATATATATATAGTTGCCTACTTTTTACACAAATTTTCAAGAAATCTTACAAATTCTTATATTCATGCACATGTTCTGGGATCATTGACAAAAAATATACTTGCCAATTTAATGACAGTTGTTGCATTTGGGGGACAGAAATATAGAAGAATTGAATAATGAAAGGGTGTAATCAAACTAAAACTAAAAATTGCTGGTAATATTTGTAATATCCATAAAATAATAGTTCTGAAGCAAATGGAAAATGACAAAAATGCACATGTGCTATTTTTATGTATTTATTTAATAAGCCAAAACTATGAATAAAGAGCAAAATGAAAGCTAGATAACAGCACATAGGGAGACAGAGTTTTCTCAAATGGAAAAGGATCAAGAAATGGAGGGAAGGGGAAAAGGAAGCAGGGGATGAAAAGGGAATTCTGATGTGTTATGTATATGAACCGATTCCTTCCAAGGAATGTAAAGGTTATGTCCTGTAATTTTCTGGTGCACAGCAACATTTGAAGGTTTTGGTGCTCAGTGCTGAACCACTATGAACCACACTAGTAGGGAACATTATTTAACTGATTCTAAGCTGATTAGGGAATTGGTGTTTTCAATATTCACAGGTCTGTATAATGATCAACTAGGATTCATGACTACCTTCTAAAAATTTTATATATTTTACTTAATTCAATTTCTTAAGAATATCTCTGTAAGGTAAGCTTATATATAACTTCTATTCTATGGATGTGGGGATTCCCTGAGTATTCATTATATTAGCCTCTCTGTACTTTTCTCTCTTCTCTTTCCCCCCAAATTCAACCATCATGACATGCTAGATAAAGGGAATTGATTGTCTCTCTAAGGGAAATGATTGGAGGATTGAAATCCTTGCCTCAGGAAAGATAACAGTGAACAGCTGGTGATGAGATACAAGGCTGGGTGTCAGGCCTGGCTTTGGGGTACCCCTGTCTTAATTCCTCAACTGTCAAAAAGAGGGTTTGATTGGAGGAGGATACAGTAGTTCCAAATATCTAAGACTAGAAATGCACTTAATCTTTGTCCAGTCACTCTACACTGTGTACATACATCATAATCTCACTCTATATCCCATAAATATATATATTCATAAAAATTGCCAATAAAATAAAAGAAATATATTTAAGCACTTTAATCAACCAAACAGAATCAACTAAAGGGACAGAGAAATGTCAGATGCCAGATGTTTCCTTGGGATTGTGAGAGATTTATATGTTAACACTGAGTAAAATAGAACATTCAAAAAATATCTCTACTTTTAATTTTCCTTTTGTTGTTATTTGTTTCTTTGTTTTTTTGAAACAGAGTCTCACTCTGTAGCCCAGGCTTTCCTCAAAGTCTCAATGATCCTTCTGCCTCAGTCTCCTGAGTGATGGGATGAAAGTATATGCTATCATACATAGAATCAAAAAAGATTTCTTAAATACTAGTTATTATTTAATCTCTCAGATGTGCATAATCAATGCCACCTATGGGGTGAGTGATGATACTGTACAGTTTCGTGCATTGCACCAAAATACAATTTTTGTTAAAATTTGAAGCCCATTCAAACAAGTATAGCTGTTATGTATGAGAAGACTTAAAAAAGATAATTTACATTTTTTGACAGAGAACTAATTTTCATAAAAGAAGAAAATAAAAACCAAGGAAGATGAAAACCCATGAAGGTAATTGACATATATAATGTTTTCCAGTCATAAACATTTGACATTAATTTGAATCCAGATATTATTCTTTTAGCAAGTATAAAACCTATCAATATTTTATAATGTTTTTTGCTTTGTGTTTTAATAAAAAGGGGCCACATCATGCTTTATTTGAATTTTAATTAGTTTCTTAACAATCCAATAATATTTGTTATTCTGTACTTCATCTATTTTTTTATTAGTACATGTCTGCCATGTATACTGATCACAATCATCATGGGTTATTTCCACCTGTACATTACACATCTGAATTCTTTTTCCCATGCCCCTCCACCATTCAGCCTTTCTCCCCTTCCTCATTTTCAAAAGCTCTTTTTCAGCTTTTTCTTTCTGTTCTCTCTTTCTAACAATTCCCTTTCCTTCCCTGAACTTCCACCTGCCTTGTTTTCTTTCTCATTTGAACATGTTTTTCCCACTTCCTAAGATCTAGCCTCCAAAGGAATAATTTACTATCATGACAAATATATCCCTAATGGTTTACCTTTTTAAACACACATTAGTCGACTGTCTGTATAACAGTTGTATTGAATAAAGTGACCAGTTCAAAAAACAATGATTAAACAATTACGATGAGATTTAGTTTTAAACACGGGAAATATTTTGTTGATTGTACAGGCCTCAAATATCAGAACTGTTACCAATGACGTGCTTTAATCCAAAATATAGACCCAGTGTAGGGTACTGGTTGCTCACTTACCAATCCAATTATTTAAATATCAGATGATAAAAAATTGGTTATTTTTCCTTAATTTTTATAAAACAATATAACAAAAATTTAAAAATGATAATTTAATCAAATATATTTCATACTTTTTCTTTGTATGGCACATATTAAAACATTCAATACACAACCAAATTCTAAAATCTAGACAGTAGGATCTAGTCACTTTCTGAATTGTTTTACATTAATATCTTTCTTTGAACAACATACTTTACACTGTTGTGTTAGATTTTCCTTTTTTGCCTGTGAGTGATATAAGTTCAATAAAACATTTACCCACTAAATGTAATCACAAAGGAATCGATAAGGGAAGTCACAGTTGGTATTTTGCTATTCTGCATTTTTCAGTTAGTCTATTAGATCTAAACTACATTGTAAATAACTTTTGAACCTCAATGTTTTGAAAAAATAACAAACAAGTTCCACATTGTTTGATCCAGAGATGCACAAATATTTTATAATAATATTTTTCTCTCTTTCTTACTAGAGGACCGCTTGTTATATGTTGTTTAACTATGTCAATACCACTCTTAAATTTATTATAATAATTGTGCACTATTGGAATTTTAAAATTTTATTTCTGCCGGGCATGGTGGTGCATGCCTGTAATCCCAGCACTCAGCAGGCTGAGGCAGGAGGATCGCTGTCAGTTTAAAACCAGCCTGGGGTACATAGTGAGTTCCAGGTCAGTCTCAACTACATAGTGAGACCTTGTCTCAAAAAAACAAACAAACAAAAAAAACCCACACAAAAAAAGTTTTATTTCTTCTTTCAAGGATAGAAATTCTATATTATGAATACTCGATAATAAGGAAAATTTGTCTTTCCATTTCATAACACAAACTTTTCCTCTCTCATTCATTACATTTCTTTTCTCTCTTTTTGTTTGATACCAGGGATGAAGCTTGGTTCCATGCACTTGTGAGGTAGGCAGTGGAACCACTGAGCTAAATCCCTGACCCTACATTTCTTCATTTAAAATTTTTTTTCCTTTGCCCATCTTTTTTAACTACCTTCCTATTCAGTCTCAATGTCCCAAACGTGTCCATTTTGTATTGTAAAATAATATCAATAAATTCTGGGGAAGTATAAAACATATGTAATGTACTTATGATATGAGTTTTTATAGACTGTAGCACAAAACTATAGTTTATATTTATAAATAAAATAAACATGAATTAGTGAAAGAAAATAACTAGAAATTATTATTAGATTTCACTAGAAAGATGCATCAAAGCTAAATACAACATTCTAAAGAAACAAATATATAAAATACTTGATATAAATGAAATAACAGACATATAAGGATATCTCATGCAAACAAGAGTTGACTGGTTGAAATGACATTTGTCAGAGCCTCACTCAGTAAACAAATACACTTCCCAAGTGACATTTAGGATAAACTGTTAATTGCTTAGCTAGTTTGTTTTTTTAAAAACAACCTTTTCTCTTTTTCAAAAGGTGTCCAAGCAATATAAAGGCACAAAATCTCACACAGTTCTCAGAATTCCATCTCATGGGTCTCTCAGATGATCCAAACCTGCAGCCCATCCTCTTTGGACTGTTCCTGTCCATGTACCTGGTCACAGTGCTCGGAAACCTGCTCATCATCCTGGCTGTCAGCTCTGACTCCCACCTCCACACCCCTATGTACTTCTTCCTCTCCAACCTGTCCTTGGCTGACATCAGTTTCACCTCTACTACAGTCCCCAAGATGATTGTGGACATCCAAACTCACAACAGAGTCATCTCCTATTCAGGCTGCCTGACACAGATGTCTTTTTTTATGCTTTTCGGATGTTTAGACAGTCTACTTCTAAGCATGATGGCCTATGACCGCTTTGTGGCCATCTGTCACCCCTTACACTATCAGGTTATTATGAACCCTCGTCTCTGTAGCTTGTTGGTTTTGATGTCAGTTCTAATGAGCCTTTTGGTCTCTCAGATGCATAATTCAACTGTGTTACAATTTATGTACTTTCAGAATGTGGAAATTTCTCATTTCTTTTGTGACCCTTCGCAGCTCTTCAACCTTGCCTGTTCTGACACCTTCACCAATAATATAGTCATGTACTTTGTGGGTGCCATCTCTGGATTTTTTCCTATCTCAGGAATCCTTTTCTCTTACTATAAAATTGTTTCCTCCATTTTAAGAGTCCCATCAAAGGGTGGGAAGTATAAAGCCTTCTCCACCTGTGGGTCTCACCTCTCAGTGGTTTGCTTATTTTATGGGACAGGGCTTGGAGTGTATCTCAGTTCAGCTGTCTCACTTTCTCCAAGGAAGTGTGCAGTGGCCTCTGTAGTGTACACTGTAGTCACCCCCATGCTTAACCCATTCATCTACAGTTTAAGAAATAGAGACATAAAGAGATCTATGTGGAGACTCCATAGAAAGACAGTCTGATCTCATTTGCAGTGTATATTGGAAAGACTAGAAAATTCACATAATCACAGAATTTTATACCTCTTAAGAATTCATCTTCGTGTTTCACATCTACATATTGTTTTTTTATCTGTCTCCCATGAGAATGTCAGAGCATTCTATATTCACTGTATTTGTACATTCCTGAATTCTATTAAACCTATGGGGCTTTCTGTAGCTTATTGTTAATGATTAGCTAAGCATGCTAGAAAGACTTAATTATACCTTCCTGTAGGAGCTGAAGACATAATATTACAAGGATATGTGCATACCATATTTATAGCAGGGCAAATCATACTAGATAAATCTTGAATATGGCCTATCTGTATGACCAAAAAAGATGAATGGATAAAGAAAATGTGGTATTTAAACACAATGAGTGCTACTCTGCAATTAAGAAGTTTGAGCCATTTGTTGGAATATGAGTATACTTTGAGACTATAATATTAATTGAGACAAATCATACACACAAATTTAAATATTTCATGGTTTCTCCTATATGAAAAATCTGAAGCATAAATACAGATTGAAATAAAGGTATCTAAAAAGGAGTAGGGAATACATCTTTCTCACAGTGGAAGGGGATTAAGAGATGGAGGGGGAGGAGAGGGAAGAGAGGGAGTTGGGACTATAAGGACCTAGGATGAATTGTTTACTCTACCAATTACACAGAAGTAATTTAAATATCATCTACTGCAAACATGTATGGAAAAAGAAGATGATCAAGGGATGGATGGAGGAGGTTTGGGAAGGGAAAGGGAATGAAAACATAAAGTAAGATATATTATGTACATATACCAACTCTACACAAAGAATGCAAACGTTTTGTACTAAAAACCTGTACTAAAAAAATAATCTCAAAAATAAATAAAATTTCCAAATTTTGGCAATTATATGACCAGACTGGTAATGTTTTATTATGAAACAGAGGCTCACTTAGTTGCCCAGGCTGTCCTTGAATTTGTAATACTTAACAGAAGCATTTTTAAGGAACCTGTGATTTCACTGAGGAACTTGATGCACTTTTATGTACCTTCTTTGTACATGATGTGTTATATTTCCTTTGTTGCTCTCAGATGCCTTTCTGTGGCTTTTGATGTTTTCCGTATAATGGGGTAAATGTGGTTATCTTTGAATTTATCATATTTAAAAATTTTTCAGATTTTTTGAATATGTATGTTCACTTTACATTTGAGAATTTTCACATTTCATTGTATTTTTAATTATTTTTTTTGTTTTGTTCTCTTTCTCTTCTCTTTTAAACTCCCATAATGAAAAACTTTCATTTCAGTGATATTCCACAATTCTGTTAAGATACCTTCTGTTTTCATTATTTCATTTTCCACTGCTTAATTTATTCAATAATTTTAATTATCCTGTCCTTAAGTTCACTGATGTTTCCTTCTACTTGACAGAGTTTCTTATGAACTGTCTATCCAATATTTAAATTTCAACTGTACTCTTCAACTTTAAAGTTTACTTTTTTTCTCAATGAATTTATTGGTACATTTTAGGTATACAGTACAGTTAAAATCATCATTGGAGTCTTGTACCTTTACATGACAGGCCTTGGTTCTCATTTTACCCCTTGTCCCTGCTCTCCCTTCACCCCTTTCTCCCCTCCCCTATTTATAAACAATTTATTTCCATTTTCTCATATTTTCTTTCTTTTCCCTTATTACAATTCCCCTACCTTTCCCACTTTTGCTGCACCTTCAGCCCTCTTCTTCCTATTTCACACACATTAGGACCTAATGTACTATTATACTTTTTCACACTTGAGAAACTATTTGGTATTTACACATGTGTGACTTTTTTATTTCACTTAAGAGTATATCCTCAATATGTGTCCATTTTCCTACGAATGACTCTAATTTATTATTCTTTATGGCTGAGTAGTACTCCATTTTATAGAAAAATGACATCTTTATCTAGTTTCCAACAGATGGGCAGATGGGCTGTATCCAAGTTTTAGCTATTACAAACTGTGTCGCTATAAACATTGGTGCACAGATATCACTGTGGTATGATTATTTTAAATCTCTTGGGAAGATATTCAGCAGAGGGATGGCTGGGTCAAATGGAATCTCCAGTCCAAGCTCTTTGAGGTATCTCCATATTGATTTCCATAGTGGTTGCACCAGTCTGCACTCCCACCAACAATGGAGAAGGGTTCCGTTCTCCCCACAACCCCGCCAACGTTTGTTATTGTGTGATTTCTTGATAACAACCATTCTTTGTGGGGTGAGGTGGAATCTCAGTGCTGTTTTAATCTGCATCTCTCAAATGACCAGTGATGTGGAACGTTTTTTTCTTATATTTAGTTGCTGCTTTTACTTCTTTGTCTGAGAAATGTCTGCTCATTTCAGATGCCCATTTTTGAATTGGGTCTTTATATTTGGGGGTGCTCATTGTTTTGAGTTCTTTATATATTCTAGATAAGAGCAATTTGTCTGAAGAGCAGCTACTAAAGTTTTTTCCCACATTGTAGGTTGTCTCTTAGTTCTGTTGATAGCTTCTTTTGCAGTGCAGAAGCTTTTCAATAAGATGAGATCCCAGTTGTGGATTGTTTCTGCTAGTTCCCATGCTACTGAGGATTTGTTCATAAAGTCTTTTCCTATGCCAATATCTTCCAGAGTTCTGTCTAACTTACCTTCGAGCACGTTTAATGTTTCTATTTTAATATTTAGATCTTTAATCCACTTGGATTTTAATTTATTGCACAGTGAAAGATAAGGGTCCAGTTTTAATCTGTGGGAGGTTGGAATCCAGTTTTTCCAACACCATTTATTAAAGAGGCTATCTTTCCTCCAGTGGGGAGTGGCAGCTCCTTTGGCAAAGATGAGGTAGCTGAGTACATCTGGAGTTATTTTTGTTTCTTCCAATCTGTTCCACTGATCCTCAGACCATTTCTTTGCCAGTACCATGCTCTTTTTATCACAGTTGCTATGTCGTATAGTTTCAAATTGGGAAATGCTATACCTCTGCTATGCGTCTGTTGCCTAGGATGGCTTTTTCTATCCTAGGTCTCTTATGGTTCCAAATGAATTTTTGGATTCTTCTTTCTAGTTCTGTGAAGTATAGTTTTGGGATTTCAATTGGCATTGCATTGAATCTGTATAGCAGTTTTGGTATTATGGCCATTTTTACTGTGTTGATTCTTCCCACGCAGGAGCAGGGAATATCTTTCCATTTTATTATATAGCCTTCGATCTCTTTTTTCAGAGTTCTGTACTTTTCAATGTAGAGGTCTTTTGCTTCTTTTGTTAAATTGATTCCAAGATACTTCATTTTTTGGGTACTATTGTGAGAGGAATTTTTTCCCTAATTTCTCTTTCAGTGAGTCTGTTATTTTTGTACAAGAAGGCTATTGATTTTGGGGAGTTGACCTTGTATCTAGCTACTGTGTTAAAAGTGTCCATTAAGTCAAGAAGTCTTTTGGTGGAGTTTTTTGGGTCTTCAATGCAGAGTATCTTATCATCAGCAAATAATGACAGTTTAACTTCTTCCTTTCTTATCTGTATTGCTTTAATTTCTTTCTTTTGTCTAATTGCAATGGCTAATGTTTCCAGAACTATATAGAAGAGGAGTGGTGATAGTGGGCATCCTTGTCTTGTTCCTGATTTTAACGTGAAGGTTTTCAGTTTTGGGCCATTTAATATGATGTTGGCTGTTGGTTTTTCATAGATAGCCTTTATTAAGTTGAGATATAGACCATCTATTCCAATTTTTGCAGGGTTTTTATCATCAATTGATGTTGAATTTTGTGTAATACTTTTTCTGTATCTATTGAGAGGATCATGTGTTTTTGTCCTTGACTTTGTTAATATGGTGTATTACATTTATTGATTTGCATATATTAAATCACCCTTGCATACCTAGAATAAATCCGACTTGGTCAGGGTGTATGATCTTCTTGATAATCCTCTGTATTCTATTTGCTAGTATCTTATTGAGAATTTTTGCCTCTATATTCATTAAGGAGATTGGCCTGAACTTCTCTTTTTTATTTACATCTTTATCTCGTTTGGGAATCATAGTAATACTTGCTTCCAGATATTAATTTGGAAGTATTGCTTCCATTTTAATTTCACTGAAAAGTCTGAAGAGTAATGGCAGGTGTTCTTCTTTAAATGTCTTGTAAAATTCAGCAGTGAATCCATCAGGACTTGAGCTTTTGTTGTTCATAATTTTTTAATTATATTTTCGATTTCACTGGTTGAAATTGGGGTGTTTAAAAAGTTTTTGTCTTCTTCTTTCAACTTTGGTAATTCATAAGTATCTAGAAATCTGTCCATTTCTTCTGTGTTTCCCATTTTATTAGAGTACAGGTTCTCAAAGTAGGTATGAATGATCCTTTGGATTTCTGTGGGATCTGTTGTTACTTCTCCTTTTTCATTCCTGATTGCATGGATCTGAGCCTTTTCTTTCCTTTTTTCATAAGGTTTGCTAAGGGTTTATCAATTTTATTTATTATTTCAAAAAACAACTCTTAGATTCATTTATTTTTTGTATCATTTTCTTAGATTCCATTGCATTGATTTCTGCTCTAATCTCTATAATTTTCTTTCTTGTTTGAGCTTTTAGTTTTTCTTGCTGTTGTTTTTGTAGGAGTATAAGATTCATTGTTAGGTGTTTATTTGAGCTTGCTCTGTTTTCGTAATGTGGGCATTCAATGCTATGAATTTCCCACATAGAACTGCTTTCATTGTGTCCCATAGATTCCTGTATGTTGTATTGTCATTTTGTTTATTTGTAAAAACTGTTCAATTTCTTCTTCTTCTTCTTTTTTTTTTTTGTACCATAGATTGAACTCGAGTCCTTGTGCTTGCAAGGAAGGCCACCGAACTGCTCAGCTAAATCCTTGGCTGTCTGATTTCTTCTTTAATTTCCTCTGTGATCCATTGATTGTTCAAGAGAGTGTTTTTCAATTTCCATGTGTTTGTGAAGTTCCTATGGTTTCTTATGTTATTGATCTCCAC